GTTTTTTCCCTCCATTTTTGCCTCCCCATTTTTCCTTAACTGTTCCCCCCCTTTTTTCCCTGTTTCTTTTCTTCCCTATTTTCCCCTTCATTTTTAAATTTTCCTCCTTTCTTTTTCCTTTTCTCATTTCTCATTTTACCTTTTTTGTCCTTTTTTCTTTCCTCCTCTTTTCTTTACTTCCCCTTTTCCCTATTTTTCTTTTTTGTTACTTTTCCCAATTTTCTTTATTTTACCTTTTTCATTTTTACCCTTCTTCCCCTCTCTTCTTTTTCCCTTTTTTTCCTCTTTCCCTGTTTTTTCCTTCCTTTTTCCCTTTCCCCCAGCACCCTCCAAACCCCTTTATTCCCTTCCCAAAACTCCATTCCCTGCTGGGCACGGACACAGCACCTGAACCTCAATTCCATATTTTTATTTTCGGGATTTTTCCCTCTGATCCACCTCACCCTGTGGATGTCCCAGATTTTCCCCATTCCCAGGTGTGGTTTTTCCACACCTTGGATAAGATGATTAATCCCAGTTTTTTTCCACGCATCTTCCCAAATCCACCATCATCATTTTACTGTCAGGAACATCTGAGGGATCCAAATCCTTGTTTTCCGTGGATTTGGCAGCTGAGAGAGGACCCTGATGGAATTTTCCATGCTGAGTCCATCACCAGCTGCTCCTCACTTTGGTTTTCCTTCCCAAGAAACCTCAGAAATCCCCAGGACAGTGATTTTATCAAATCCATTTGTTAAATGGGTTTGATAAAATTTTGATTAATTTTATCCAGTCCATTTAACAAATGGAAGCTCTGGGACTAGAGGGATTTTTTTTTTTCTCTCAATTTTTGAGAATTTCATGGAAAATAAAGGCATCTAATCCAACCAACAGGGAGGTGTGGCTGGAAGGGCAGAGAATGATCTGGGAGGAGAATTCCAGAGCCTGAGCCACAATTCCAACATTTCCTCATTAAATAAATTAATTTGAAAACATCTCCAAAGGGTCCCATCCCCTGGGTGTTCCCTGGTGGGATTACAGACATGGAACCCTCATCCTTAACTTTTCTCCTCTGATCCATGGAAAAAATGGAGCATCCTGGGAATAAATCACAGCTTCCATGGGCCTGAGTGCTGCTTTAGTCCCATATTTAAATACTCAAACTTATCCCAACCTTATCCCTCCCTCAGATGTGTTATTTTCCCATTCTCCTTAATTTTCTTCCTGCTTTTTCTGTCTCTCTGTGGCCTGGAGGTTTCTGGGGGTGATTTCCAACCAGGACTCAATTCCAGGGATTTTTCCTAGTGGAAAAATTCCCGAGGGTAAAACATGACCCTCTGGCCCCATCCAGAGGTGGGACTGGGAAATCCCACAGGGTCGGTGTGGTTTCCTTGTGGAATGACATCCCAATCCTGCAGAATCCAGGAGCTCTGGATCCCCTGGATCTTTTGGCCTGGCAGCCAGGTGCGGTCCAGGTTGGAGGTGAGGTCCTGACTGGAAGTTAAATCCAGGCTGCAGGTGAGGTCCAGGCTGGAGATCAGATTTGGGTTGGAGGTGAGGAAAAGTCGAGGTTGGAGGTGACTTTTTGTCCGGCTGGAAGTGAATCCCAGTTTGGAGGTGAGGTCTAGCTTGGAGGAGATGTCAAGGCTGGAGGTGAGGTGAGTTTCCAGCTGGAGTGAGGTTCATCTTGGAGATGAAGTTCAGACTGAAGATTAGGAAAGTTCTAGCCTGGATGTGAGGTCTAGGTCTGGTCAGAGGTGAGGAAAGGTCCAGTTTGGAGGTGGGGTCAAGGCAGGGGTTGAGGTCTGAGTTGGAGGTGAGGTCCAGCCTGGAGGTGAGGTTCATCTTGGAGGTTACACCTGGCTTGTAGGGAAGGTCCAGCCTGGAGCTGAGTTCCCAGTTTGGAGGTGAGTTCCAGCCTGGAGGCAAGGCTCAGCTTGGAGCTGGGATCTGGAGTGGAGGTGAGCTCCAGGCAGGTGAGGCTGGGAAAGGTCCATCCTGGAGGTGAGGTAAGGTCCAAGCAAGAGGTGAGAACCAGGCTGGAGGTGAGGTCCTGGCTGGAACTGGAGTCCAGGCTGGAGATGAGGTCCCAACTGAAAATGGTTCATTTTGGAGGTGATGTCCAAGCAGGAGGTGATGAAAGGTCCATGGAGGTGCAGTCCCAGTTGGAGGTGAAGTCTGGTTTGGAGGTGAGGCTCATCTTGGAGGTGAAGTCCAGTTTGGAATTGAGGTCCTGGCTGGAACTGGAGTCCAGGCTGGAGATGAGGTCCCAACTGAAAATGGTTCATTTTGGAGGTGAGGTCCAAGCAGGGAGTGATGAAAGGTCCATGGAGGTGAGGTCCCAGTTGGAGGTGAAGTCTGGTTTGGAGGTGAGGTTCATCTTGGAGGTGAAGTCCAGTTTGGAATTGAGATCCTGACTGGAACTGGAGTCCAGGCTGGAGATGAGGTGCCAACTGAAAATGGCTCATTTTGGAGGTGAGGTTCAAGCAGGAGGTGATGAAAGGTCCAGTCTGGAGATGAGGTCCCAGTTTGGAAGTGAGGCCTGGTTTTGAGGTGAAGTCAAGGCAGGAGTTGAGGTTCCAGTGGGAGATGAGGTCCAGGCTGGAGGTCAGGTTCATCTTGGAGGTGAGGTCCCAGTTTGGAGGTGAGGTCCTGGCTGGAAGTCCGACTTGCAGGTGAGGTGTGATCCTGGATGGAGGTCTCCTGTTACTTCCAAGAACATCTCCAGCAAACCTGTGAAGGTTGCTTCATTTCCAGTGATGAAAATTCTCCAATTAAAAACATTGCTCTGTCATGGGTGTTAGAGATTTGGGGTGTCAGAATTTTGGGGTGTCGGAATTTTTGGAGTGTCTGAATTTCTCAGTGTCTGAATTTTGGAGTATTCCATTTTTTAATTGTCTGAATTTCTGGGGTGTCTGAATTTCTAGGGTGTTTGAATTTTTGGGGTGTCTGAGTTTTGGTGTATTTGAATTTTGGGCTGTTTGAATTTTTGGGTGTCTGAATTTTGGGGTGTTTAGTTTTGGGCTGTCTGAATTTTTGGGGGCTTTGAATTTTCGGGGCTGTTTGAATTTTGGGGTGTCTGAATTTCTGGGTGTTGGAATTTTTGGGGTGTCTGAAATTTCAGTGTATCTGAATTTAGGGGTGTTTGAATTTTTGGGTGTCTGAATGTTGGGGTGTTTGAATTTCAGGGTGTCGGAATTTTTGAGTATCTGAATTTTGTGCTGTTTGAATTTTGGGGTGTTTGAATTTTGGGGTGTTTGAATTTTGGGGTATTTGGAGTATCTGAATTTAGGGGTGTTTGAATTTCAGGGTGTCGGAATTTTTGAGTATCTGAATTTTGGGATGTTTGAATTTTTGGCTGTCTGAATTTTCAGGGTGTTTGAATTTTGGGGTGTTTCATTTTTAGTAGTTTCATTTTCTGATGTCTTGGAAAGAAACTCCATGGACTGGTTGGGAGGAACACAACCGGGACCCCCAGCAGGTGGTTCTCCCAAGCTGAGGCATTCCCAGATAAAAAATGGGATCCAAGATTCCAGGGCAGTGAATTCCACTCTCTATTCTGACACTCTGGAATATTTCCTGCTCTGTTTTTCAGCTGACATTTCCTCTTTCCCTTTTGGAAATAAAACCCCTCCTTTTCCCATGTCCTAGAAAATACAAAAAAATACAGAAATTAACGGGGATTTTTATTCTCCCTCTCTTCATCCAGAGCTGGCAAAGGAGTTTTTTCAGCCATGAAGCTTGGAAAGACACGTCCGTCCAAGGATGAGCATCGGAAACAAGGTACAGTCATGGAATGATGGTGGATTCCTGGAATTGCAGTGGTGGGAGAGGAAGGGCTGCCTGTTCTGTTCCCTGGGCTCTGCACCAAGGTGGGGCTGGAATTGGACACCTCTGGAAAGGCAGGAGAGGGCAGCGATTGGAAATTCATGGCTGTTTCCATTCAGAGCCAAGGATCAGTTTTCCACAGCAAAGAAAAGCAGGAATGTGTATTTACAGGCAGAAAAAAGCCTTGGAAAAAGTTTGGGTTGTGATTCTGGGAAAACTTGCCCTGTTTTCCAGCCAGGTTTGAGGATAGGAAAAAGGAATTTTGCCTGGGATGCTGGCATGGAAACCTGGGTGTTCCTCCCAGAACCTGCATGTTCTGTTTGTGATTAAAGATTCCAGCAGGACCGTGGGAAAACACCCAGGATGCAAATGAAGAGAGCAGTTGGTCCCATGGAAGCATCTCCACAGGCTGGATTTATCCATGGTCCTGGAATTCTCACTGTGTGGTGTGGGCAGGGCTGCAGGGCTGGGAGGCTCCTGGTCCCACCTTTCCCAGGAACTTCCAGGTGTCCCTGGGCTGGGATGGTGGTGATTCCAACCCTTGGCCACTGGATAAGGGATGGGTGGATGTCCTGGACCTGCTGCCTGCTGGCCAAGCCGGCATTCCCAACATTCCGTGGGTGCTTCCCTCCCATCCAGACTCTTCTCCGGCTTAGATCAGCTCTAACCTGTCCTTGGACGCTTCCAGGGATGGAGCAGCCACAGCTCCTCTGGGAATTCCAGTCCAGCCCCTCCCCACCCTCCCAGCCAGGAATTCCTCCCCAAGATCCCACCCCAAGCTCCCTTTTCCGAGTGGGAGCCATTCCCTGTGTCCTGTCCTTCCATGCCTTGTCCCCAGTCCCTCTCCAGCTCTCCTGGAGCCCCTCTAGGCCCTGCAAGGGGCTTTGAGGTCTCCCTAGATCCTTCCCTTCTCCAGTTGGACATTCCCAGCTCTCCCAGCCTGGTTCCATGGCTGAGGGACTCCAGCCCTGGAGCAGCTCCGTGGTCTCCTCTGGACCAACTCCAGCACTCCATGATCATCCCATGCCGAGGAGCCCAGAGCTGGAGACAGCAATTCCCAGCTCCTGGCTCAGTCTTAATCTCCTGGCTGAGTCAAGGACCCCCTTTTCCTCAGGAAAGGAACTTTCCAGCAACTTCTTCCAATAGAAACCCAGGCATGGGGATGTGTCAAGGGGATCTTCAGTAGATTTTCCTTTTTGGAATGACCCATTTCTCCCATTTTTTCACCTCTCAAAAACCAGGGATCTCTCCTCAAAACCAGGGAATGGGTTGTCTTTGCACCAACTCATGCACTCCTCAGATCTCCAACTCTTCCTCAAATGCTCTTTCACCCCCTAAATTCAGGGTGCTCTCATTATTCCTTATTTTTCTTTCCTTAAGACCCTCCACAGGAATTCTGCCCGGATGGAATTCCATGTCATCTCTTTGATAACCCCTCTTCCGAGCAGGTTGCCCGAGACCCGACCTGGTCCCCATTGTTTTTGTGCTCCCAGCCGAGGGGATGGATTGGTTTCCCTTCTCCCAGCCTTTAATTATTCACCGGTGGAAATGAAAACCGGAGCCATTCCTTTGTCCCCTTCCCGCAGATGATCCGGCTGTTCTGGAAACAGAAGACCTGGATAGAAAGGCCATGAGATACGGAGCAGGCCTGGAGCCAGACACCATCTCCCTGGCCTCTGTCACCGCTGTCACCACCAATGTCTCCAACAAAAGGTGAGATCCGGGGGTGGGATTGTGCCAGCGGGAGGTGAGGATGGACATCCCAAAAATGAGTGATCCCTGACACAGGGAATGTTGGAAAGCATTGTCCCACAGAACCAGTGAGATGTTTTTTTTGGAATATGTGACCCACAGCAGCGATCACCAAATTTCTGTGGAGCCTCCCAACTCCCAGGGTTGGAGGAGCATTGAGGGTGACCCTGCTCTTGTAGTGAGAGGGACTTGGGACATGAACCTGGAGGGACAGGACAGAGGGAATGGCTTTCCACTGCCAGAGGGCAGGGATGGATGGGGTATTGGAAGTTAGGAATTGTTCCCTGAGAAGGACTGGGATGGAATTCCCAGAGAAGCTGCAGCTGCCGCATCTCTGGAAGTGTCCTAGGCCAGATTGGATGGGGCTTGGAGAACCTGGATTGGTGGTGTCAGGCTCTGGATGATCTTCAAGGTGCCCCCTACCCAAACCATTCCATGATTCCATGAATTCCAGCCGTGGTTTGACCAAAGGTTTCTTCTCCCTCTCCCAAGGTCCAAGCCTGACATCAGGATGGAGCCGAGTGCTGGGAGGCCCATGGATTACCAGGTAGGTGACACCTGGGTGTGGCCCTCAGGGTCACGACCTGGGCTTGGGGACACTGTTTGCAGGGACCGAGATCCTGGTGGGTCTCAACTCACTGGGCTTGGATCCAGGGCATCCCAAGAGCTGGAATTTCACTGGTGGAGCCATAAACTCAGGATTGAGCCATTGACTGGGTTTTTTGTCTGGCATGTAAAACCCAGAGAGCCCAAATTAAGCCCAAATTAAACCCAAATTAAGCTCTTTTTGAGGTTGTCTCTGGAATTTCTCCTTGGAGCAACCTGGGATAGCAAAATGTGTTCCTGCCTCTGGCAGGGAGTGGAATGGATTGAGCTTTAAGCTCCCTCCCAATTCCAACCAATCCATGATCCCATTGTGTTTTCCAGCAGAAATGAAGCCAATGGGATCCGTCTCTCTGATCCCACAGCTTGGGTTAAATCCTTTCAATTTTCCAATGGAAGTGAAGCCAGTGGAATCGGTCTCCCTGATCCCACAACTTGGTTAAGTCCATTGGATTTTCCAGCAGAAATGAGGCCAATTGGATCAGTCTCTCTGATCCCACAGCTCGAGTTAAATCCATTGGATTTTCCAGCAGAAGTGAAGCCAATGGGGTCGGTCTGTCTGATCCCACAGCTCAGGTTAAATCCCGTTGTGTTTTCCAGGAGAAGTGAAGCCAATGGGATCGGCTTCTCTGATCCCACAGTTTGGGTTAAATCCATTGGATTTTCCATCAGAAAATGGGATTTTGCAGCAGAAGAGAAGGCAATGGGATCAGCTTCTCTGATCCCACAGTTTGGGTTAAATCCATTGGATTTTCCAGCAGAAATGAGGCCAATGCGATCGGTCTCCCTGATCTCACATCTTGGTTAAATCCACTGGATTTTCCAGCAGAAAATGGGATTTTCCAGCAGAAGTGAAGCCAATGTGATCAGTCTCTCTGATCCCACAGCTTTGTTGAATTCATTGGATTTTCCAGCAGAAGTGAAGCCA